ACACGTAGGCAATTAATATAAATTTAAAAAGTTTTATTAAGTAAAAGTTTATATACACGTTTAATTGTTCAACATAATTATAATTGTAGCTTAGACATATGCTAACTGCGATAGTTCCCTTTTGTTTTCATTCGGGTGTCCAGTGTTGACACGCACGTTGCTGGCGAAAATCCATTATTTTCCGGTCAGAATTTCATCCTCGGTTGAGAGATTTCAAACGACCGAAGACGGTTCTAAGTTGTCACCGTCGACGTTAATTAACTGAAGTGGAAGAACACGTCCCTCGTAAGCGATGACGAAGGACATGTATCATTCCAAAAATCGTCAGCAGAAAAGGGAAGACGCCAAACCGCCATTGAAAGTCACATCCGATGAATGAAGTCAAGTCGCGTCCGGTCATTAGGTCACAGCCAGGTAAAAGTCCAAATCCGGGTAGAAAACGTCACATTCGGGAAAAAAGTCACATCCGGTGAGAAGACCTTGCTGATTTATTTCTTCCAGAAGAAGAAGAACTTCTTCTACCAAGGCTTCTTTTTCCTCTTTCTCAGAATCGATTTACACTCCTCTTGCAGTCCTTGCTCGCGTGCCTGTCTCTGCACCGACCATTCCGGAACTTCTGGTATCTCTGTTCCAGGTAATCGATGACAGATGACGTGCTGTCATCGGTAATGGTGACAATCACCCGTTTCAGACAATTTCTGGTAGAGAACGGAAACTGTTGTTGCTCGTGTTCAGATAAAGCAAATTAAAATTCTCTGTAAATAGGGAAAGAAGAAGATTATTGAAACGATTGCCATTTAAGGTAAGCGTTTTAAGGTTTGTCAGCCCTCTAAATATGGTGGAAGGAAGAAACGTCAACAAATTTCTATGCAGACGTAATACCTCTAGAGATCGCAATCCACGGAAAAGGGTCTCCGGAAGATCCTCTAAACCAGTGATTCTCAAACTTTTTCGATCCACCGCCCCCTTTGTTCCATAAAGTTATACCCAACGCCCCCTAACGCATTTTCTCTTGTGTGAGAAAAGGATTGGAAATATTCTTAGGAAAACTTTTCTATGAATCTCACACTTTGTGCCCTTACTGNCGTAGTAAATTAATATAAAGTTTAAAAGTTTTATTAAGTAAAAGTTTATACACATTTAATTGTTCGACATAATTATAATTGTGGCTTAGACATATGCTAACTGCGATATTTCCCGTTTGTTTTCATTCGGGTGTCCAGTGTTGACACGCACGTTGCTGGCGAAAATCCATTATTATCCGGTCAGAATTTCATCCTCGATTGAGAGGTTTCAAACGACCGAAGACGGTGCTAAGTTGTCACCGTCGACTTTAATTAACTGAAGTGGATGAACACGTCCCTCGTAAGCGATGACGAAGGACATGTATCATTCCAAAAATCGTCAGCAGAAAAGGGAAGACGCCAAACCGCCATTGAAAGTCACATCCGATGAATGAAGTCAAGTCGCGTCCGGTCATTAGGTCACAGCCAGGTAAAAGTCCAAATCCGGGTAGAAAACGTCACATTCGGGAAAAAAGTCACATCCGGTGAGAAGACCTTGCTGATTTATTTCTTCCAGAAGAAGAAGAAGAACTTCTTCTACCAAGGCTTCTTTTTCCTCTTTCTCAGAATCGATTTACACTCCTCTTGCAGTCCTTGCTCGCGTGCCTGTCTCTGCACCGACCATTCCGGAACTTCTGGATATCTCTGTTCCAGGTAATCGATGACAGATAACGTGATCTCATCGGAAATGGTGACAATCACTCGTTTCAGACAATTTCTGGTAGAGAACGGAAACTGTTGTTGCTCGTGTTCAGATAAAGCAAATTAAAATTCTCTGTAAATAGGGAAAGAAGGAGATTGTCATTTAAAATAAGCGTTTTAAGGTTTGTCAGCCCCTCTAAATATGGCGTGAGGAAGAAACGTCAACAAATTTCTATGCAGACGTAATACCTCTAGAGATCGCAATCCACGGAAAAGGGTCTCCGGAAGATCCTCTAACCGATTGTCGAAGAGATGTAAAGATTTCAGTCTATTCAAACCACGAAATGCGTCTTCTGGAAAACTTTTTATTCTTCCTAATACTACGTGAATCATTGTTAATCATGGGAGAGGATTGAATAATCCGTTCGGAAACTTTTCCGTCATCACTCGTAACACATAGATTTTGTCAATGTTGGGTAACTTTTCTAAATTGTACGACACATTTTTCATATGATATAAGACGATGTCACGAAGTTTCGGTAGGTTTCCGATTGCAATTTGCGAATTCGGTGGAACGTCTTCGGAAATCAAAAAGAATTGCTTGACTCTCTCATCTCGCAGGGAAGTTTTCACGTCGGGAGAGGGTAGGACGCAATCTCTTAACATCACCGAGAAAAAGTAAGTAGAATTAGTGCACTCACGAATCTGTTAGGCGTCGAAAATGTTTCCTCGACACACCACGTAAACCGTTTTCACGTAATCGTTGACGAAAACAACGTTCGATCCGCATTTCACCTGTCGATTCATTTTTACAGTTGTGTAGCCAAATCGGTCGCTGACGAAGATCCACCCCTTTATTGACACTCAAAGGAGTAACAATTGAGTTAAGAAGATTTTCTGCACCGTCTGAAAGGAAAGTAAAACTTATGAACTTCTGACCGGATCTATTTTTACGAACAGACACCGGAACGTTCTTTCAACTTCAGATAAATAAATAATTGTTCGAGGACAACAATGGTGGACTCTTGCCACATTTATCGACGGAAGATAGAATGTGGTTTTAGAGACTAATTCAATTGTACAGGGGTTTTCCGGAAATAAAATTGTTTTGTATAAATTTATTCATATAATCGAATGTTAAAGGAATTATATAAGCAATAATTTTATCTAGTTTTAGTGTTACGAGATCGAAGGCTTATTAACAGGTGTTAAAGATTTCTTTCGATTTCAATTATTTTTTATATAAAGCAAATTTCACTCTCCGTAAGAGGAATTCCTATACGTCACGATAAAGTAACGAGTTACCTTACTCTAAACGTTACTCTTACCGGATAAAGAGACATTAAACATTTACCTGGAGGGAGAACCGTGGCCACGCCATCGACATCGCTAGTTATACAATTCCTTATATTGGGGTCGTAAACAGGTATGTCGTTAAATCGATAAACACTGACAGAAAGGTTTCTTTTTCTCTTTAAAACGCGATGATACGATAACGCTGTAGCAATAACCGGTTGGAAATACGAATGTGACGTAAAGACGGGATTTCTTTCGAAAATTCCTTTTCCTTCGAGGATGTATTTCCATTTCTAGACGTATCGAAAGATCGAACCTCTTTCCCTAACTTCCTTTGTATGATAATCGCGTAGATCCGTAAAGTTGGCTTTTCGGACGTTCGACCTATTAAAAATTTGTCATTGATGCGAGATGAGGATGCTGATGAGGAGGAGAAGAATTCCTTCGCCTTTTCATTGTCTTCGTTTCTCCGAATCTCACGTCCCCGATTTCCGTCCCAAAATCATTTTCCCAAATTTTGTACATCCTTTTTTTCGCGATAAAATACAGGACGAACTTGGAATTATAAACATAATTTTAAGAGAAAAATTTTCGAGTATCATTCAAAATTCGATGATAATTTTGTCATTTATTAAAACTTAAAGCTTTGTTTATGACGGAAGTGGAACACCTTCGGTTATTCAATAATCGCATAGGGGTACTCCTTCTATCTTCTAAACCGCATCGATGCGACTGTCGAAAAAATTGTACCGGGGTGTTTCGGCGCGTAAGTTGTGTGACGTCTACGGTATCGATTCGTCAACTGTCTACTACATAAAGAGGTAAAGAGTACTAATGTATTCATATACTGTACAATGTTTCATTTATTGTTTACTTAATTTCCATTTAAAATTTATTTTAGGTTTTAGTTGTCTACTGTACACTTTTAGACGCTCGGGTGGTGTATAATTAGTGGTTACGGGTGTGTTGACGTACTATAACAGAGAGACGGACTACAATGGGAATTTATATGTCTATAATTTTTCCAAATTGCAGTCCAATTACTTTAAAATATTTTGATGTTTTTTCATTAACTCCTACAGAAAAATTCCGAATTAGAGATAATAATTACTTTTACGTTTAAACAAGCTAACGTAAGTACCAACTAAACGAAATATCTTTTTTTTGTGAAGGAAAATAAAACTGCTAGTTACGCGTAAAAACAAGCGAAAAGAGTTAATAATATACAATACTCGAGCATTTTGTATAAATTTACAGAATAACGAGGAAAAGTCACGGTTACTTAAACAATAACATCACAAAACGCCTATATCACACAAGCACAAAAATTAAACATGGAATTGTAATCTGGGCCATTACACCAGAATATAGTATAAATCGTTTATTACAGCCATGTATAATCTCAATTATAACGCAATTGTTTTTATATAGTATCACTAGGAAAAATAGACAATGTAAAACTCTATAAAACACTCCGAAATTTTATTATAATCACCCTGTAATTTATATGCATTTTTAATGTACTAGATTACAGATATTCGTGTAACTTTACTCACAATCCTATTCACTTATCCAAATTACCGTAATTTGTTGATTACATTTACATTATTAAAGATTCGGTTTGCACTCCTCCTCGTTCTTTTTTATTCCAGATTTTGATGAGGAGTAACGATCTCGACTCAAGTACAGTTATTTAATTACTACAAAAATCCGAAAAGACAACTGTACGGGTGTGTTCGGTTGTCCCGACAAACAATGTAAACAATTCGTTACTTAAGAATTGTTTACGACTTTGTTTGGAGGGAAACGTAACGGTTAGTCACTCTGTTCAACGAAGTGAGGAAAGTCTGATTTACGTAACACGTGACTATCGATATGAAATAGTAAATCTGGACGAACCATTGTTTAAACGTTACGGAAAGGGAAGAGCTCTTTCCACGTGTCTAGATGTACGAGTGACATCCCCGAAGGAGAGGAAATGTCGGAGAGAAATCCCATCTTTACGTTACATCCGTTTTCCAACCGGTTATTGCGTCGACATTGAAAGAGAAAATAAAGTTTCCCGTAAACGTTCTGCGATTTAGCGAGGTACCACCAGCTATGACCTCGATATAAGGAGTTGGATAAACCGCGAGGGCCACGGATCTCCCTACAGGTAAATATTTAATGTGTCTTTATCCGGTAAAAGTGACGTTTAGAATGCGTCGTAACGTTTAGAAATTCCTCTTATAGCCAGTGACGTTTGAATGGTATAAAAGAAAATAACCGACACAAGAAAGATCTGTAACACCTTTTGACAAGTGTATGATCCCGTAACACTAGAAGTAGTTAAAATCATTATTTGCATTAATTAATCGTCCTACATCAGATTCTATCGATAAATTTATATAAAAAGCGGAAAACCTTTCAACGTGTCACGATTTCATCTTCCGTCGGCAAAAGTAGCAAGAGTGGACTTCCCCGTTTTCGCCATTCTTGTCCTTGAACAATTATTTAATTATTTTTATTTCAGAGAACGTTCGGATGTCTGTCCGTAAAAGAACGGGCGAAGTGAAATTAAATAACTTATATTCTTAATTAATGTTTTGTTGGCCAATTTTACATCACTTTACTTTTTCTGGGGGAATTAGTGCACTCACGAATCTGTTAGGCGTCGAAAATGTTTCCTCGACACACCACGTAAACCGTTTTCACGTAATCGTTGACGAAAACAACGTTCGATCCGCATTTCACCTGTCGATTCATTTTTACAGTTGTGTAGCCAAATCGGTCGCTGACGAAGANTGTCCTTGAACAATTATTTAATTATTTTTATTTCAGAAAACGTTCGGATGTCTGTCCGTAAAAGAACGGGCGAAGTGAAATTAAATAACTTATATTCTTAATTAATGTTTTGTTGGCCAATTTTACATCACTTTACTTTTTCTGGGGATATATTCCCGATTAACTTGTAATGATTTTAAGAATGTATTTTCGTAATTTTTAGCAGTTTTCATTGATTCAGTGTACAGAATGATAAGTAATTAAACTGTAGTTAATTGTCGTGTAACGGTATAAGTAGAAATTCCCGATGAATGTCCTATTTACCTAAATTAAGTACAACTATTTGAAGCATTCGGTAAAGTTAGAATTTCCTCAAGATTTTGGTTTATCTCTGCATAAGATGTCACTAGAAGTAATCCGTAGACGTTACAGTTGCCTTCTATCTCGACAGACTTAGAAAGCGGTGAAGCTAGACAAACAAATAAATTACATTCAAGCTGTGATATTTTGCACGGAATATAAAAGTTAATTGTCGAAGATCCTTGCTTAACAATGTCCTAACCTTATCGGACTTTCCTGAAAATGGCACTCGGTGGCCTTCACTTCAGAATATCGGGCCAATGAGGCCAGACCCATCCGCGTTAACGATTTCGTCATCAAAAAACACGTGAATGTTTAATGAGACACTAATGCGGTGTGTTGCGAACTCCGAGTACCCTTTGAAGAAATTGACCCGACAAAATTTTCACTCGAACGAACAGAATCTCACAAAAGTGTTTTCATACGGTTGGGAATTATACAGTTTAATTGCATCACTTCTGTAATTGCCTATGACTGTTTGTAATGTTTTGCCAGGTTTTTCCCGTTTGCATCATTCGCAGCTATTCGAATCTTCCAGGAAGTCGCTTAATACAATATTAGATTTTTTTTTTCACCCAATCTTACACTATTTCCAATACCTTAGAAGCTATCGAGTCTCGAAAATTTGGCTGTAAATGAGAATACTGTATCAATAACTTCTATTTAATTCTAGTTTATATCATTAGCCACTTCCATAAAATTATTTACTATATATACAGATTAGAGTCCGTTTATACACTTCACTTCCGCAATTTATTCCTTTAAATAGGGACTAAATAAAAATTTTCTTTGCAGAATGCGATGGATATAAAAATGAAGAACTTATTCAACTTATTCTTGTGTATCGCTTTGGCTCAGTGTTGCACCGAGTTCTTGAGCAGATGGAAGAACATCGTGTGTCCCGCTTTTGTTCCGCAGGATACCAGAACTGTTTGTATTAGAAGCGAAAACATATTGCTGGTCACTAGAGTCGATTATCTTTTCATCGATTGCTACGGGACGGTGCCGGATCGTCGGATTTTCCAGTGTATGCAACAACTCGAAAACACAAATTTACTAATACGCAATTGTTATTCTCACAATTTTGGGTTGAATGAACTTTTGTCTGGACAAGTCATACGTAACTTGGAAATTGTATTTATCACAACCGAACCGAACTACAGGAAATTGCACATAGAGAAGATGCCATTCGTCAGAAATATAACAATGTACGGAATAAATTCCGCAGGATTATTCGACCTGACGTTCGATTTCCAACCCGTCATCTACGCATTACAAATACACTTCTACAATTTCACTTCTTTTACGCAGACACCTTTTAAAAACCTGACAAACCTTCCAGTTCTGAAAATAGTATATGGAAAACTGGAGTATCTTCAGGAGAATCTACTCCTAAACCTGAACGACCTCAAAGTACTATGCTTGTACAATAACAGAATAAAAGAGATTCCACGTGGATTCTTTAAAAATCTCACATTGTTGAATCATCTGGATATATCCTTTAATCAAATCGAGAACTTTTCGGAAGATATCTTTTCCGATCTCTTCAGCCTAGAAGTACTTCGGATCAAAAACAATAAACTGACGGTTCTTCCGGAAAATTTGCTCTCTCCCCTCACTCAGTTAATCAGTCTCGAAATGAGTGAAAATAGAGGAATGAGAAACTTACCCAAAGGATTCTTAAAAGGCTTGACACGTCTAGAAACATTTGCAGCAATGAGATGCTCTTTAACACATGTGGAAGAATCTTTATTTTCAGACACTATATCTCTGAAACACATCTACCTAGATTATAACGACATCAGAAGTCTCCCGGAAAAATTGTTCAATAACACGGAAAATTTACTCTTTCTGTTTCTATTTGACAATAAATTATCGACTTTGCCACCTCGTGTATTTTCCAGCCTAACAAGACTCGGAGTCCTAGACTTAGCGTACAACAGACTGAACCATTTACATAAAGATATCTTCAAGCACTTATCAACACTGGTAGTGTTGCGGTTATCCGATAACGATTTGTCCTCCTTGCACCAAGATACACTTCTACCTCTTTCGAATTTGTACATTATCGACCTATCAAATAACAACTTCGAACATTTACCCGCAAAATATCCTTTTGGTTCCAGCAATTATTTGCAAAATGTGAAGATCAGCAACTCGAATCTGAAGACTTTTCCTAATATTGATTGGTCGAATAACAACCTGACTGAAGTCGATCTATCCCACAACCAACTTCGGGAAGTCACTCTACCCGTGTTTACCAAGAAGCACACCAAGATATTGCTCAACCACAACAACATCTCCACCATCTACATTGACTATCGACGACATTCTAACAGTTATCCAGTGTATAACGTCACAGGAAACGTCATCGAGTGCGACTGTCGAATCAGACAGTTCTTGCGATTTCTTCACTCTGACGAAAACGCCGTCCGCATTTTTCCAGATTCCAATATCCTGCGATGCAATGGACATTCCGAAAGGAAACTAACAGAAATCTGGCCAATTTACAGTGTCTGTCCGCGGAAAGAGGAGTGTCCTATCTTTTGCCAGTGCTACCTGACACTAGAAGGACAAACTGCAATCGATTGTTCTCGTAGAAATTTGTCTAATTCACCCGCGAATCTTCCTACAAATGCAACATTCGTCTTTTTGAACGACAACCACATTGCCAATCTGTTCGAAGTAGACGGGACTACGTGGAAAAACGTCACACATCTCTATCTTAGTAACAATTCTCTGACGTCACTGAACGATTGGGTCGTTCCAGATAATCTCCGCTATTTGGCTCTGGATGGAAACAAGCTGTCGGATTTGCCCCCTTCTTTAATGAAGAGAGTGGAATATTCGTCAAACTTCAGCATTTTTCTTTCCAGAAACAAGTCGAAATGCGACTGCCATTCTGTCCATTTCAAGAAGTGGTTCACGCGGAATTTGCTTAAGATCCGTGATTCCGAGAACGTAACCTGTCAGAGAGTCAATAGAGTTAATAATTCCATAACACACGAACTCATTCGTAGTATTCCACCAGATATATTCTGTTTAGAAGAACCCGTGTTGCCTTTATGGCAAGTGATCGTTCTTACAGTTTCGGTAATATTCTTATTGACTTTATCAGTTCTTGCAGTCGCCTTGTTTCCATTATCGACTTTCTATATTGGCCTTTCTGTACAGTCGAGACGTGTACTTGCCCTGTTTGAATACAGTTGTAGAAGAAGAAGGTAAACAGTACGACGCTTTTATATGTTACAACGGTGCCGATTCTGCCGTAACCATGGAGATGGTGGATCGACTGGAACCCACTTATCGCCTTTGTATTTACGAACGTGATTGATTGGCAGATAGCCCTATAAGCGAGAACATCGTGCATTCTGTGAATAACAGTAGAAAGACGGTGATATTGTTGTCTCGACAGTTCCCGGACAGCATGTGTAGAATTTCGTGTGGCATATAACAAAATGATGCAAGATCAAATTTACCATCTAGTGTTGGTTTTGGTGGAAGAATTGGAGAATTCGAACGACCTGGAGGAGGACCTTCGTCGTTTGCTGAAAACCAAAACTTATTTGAAGTGGGGATAAAAGTGATTTTGAGAAAAATTGAAATATATTCTTCGAAGACAATACAGTAGAGCGTCGTTTATCCGAATCAAGTGGGGACTGAGGTTGTTCGGATAACTTATTTTTCGGATAACCGATTACGTATGAAAAAATATATTAACCTAGCCCGTGTTGAAATTTTTCTCTGTTGCGTGTCGCTTCGAGTTGAATTTTCGTTGATGTTAAGCCTAATGAAAACTTTTTAAAATAATAATCGTGGCTATTGTAGCGTTAAAAATTATTTTTTTATTTTGTACAAACAAAATAAATTTATTGAAAAATATAAAAACCAAAAAATATATACTTTAGAAGATGATCTAGTATCAAAAACGTTCGATTCATCACGACACAGTCCTCAGAAAAACACTACACAAAAGTGCCAGTGCTGCCAGCTAAAACACACACACCAACAAAAAAAATATTGGAGTAGCCAAAGATTGCAGCGCCACAGCACTAGTGGAAATTTAAATTTGCCGACTGGAATGCTTTCGGATAACCGACTTTCGGATAAACGACGCTCTACCATAGTTGAGAAATGCAGTTGACTGGCTAGTAGTAAAATGAGCGTGAGAAGTTTCGTGTTTCGTCATTTGTTTGGATTTGTCACTTTTTCGATTTTGATATCGTTAGGAACGTAATAAACTCGATTTATAGAAATGTGACTGTTATTTTTCGTATCGTAAATGAAATACGTGAAATATCGTTAATTTGAAAAAGTGATAAGTTGAAATAAGTGAATGACGAGAGGAAAGACAACCGTGTTAATATAATAAGCCTTTTTAGCAGCGTAGAAGTCAATTCGGCGAAACAACTAGTTACATTTTCAAAAGGATAAATACAATAGTATAAATCTTATTAATAGCGTAAATTTGAATAATATCTAATGATTTCGTTGTACTTTTCTTGGTATTCAGATTTTTCCAATATGACGAGTTCATTTAGACATTTGAAGGCGTCAGCATGACACCAGGCAGTCAAACTGGAGTATGGCTTAAATGGATAATTCAAAGAATCTAGAAGAAAAAGTAACCTTAATCCCTTTTCTTCAATAATTTGAATGACATATTTTTGCACTTCTTTGGCTTTAACTTGAAAAAATTATAGACCTATAAATTTCCACTGTCATCTGTCTGGTGTGTGTCACTGTCTGTCCTTCCTTAATCTCGAGAACGGTGTTACACAGATGAACGCCGAGGTCACATTTGAAAAGACTAGAGGCACGAAGCACAGATTTACTATATGCGAACGTTCGCAGCAAATCAGAAGTGATGTTATTTCAATTCAAATATATTCCGCCGAAAGGAGTTCTCATTTATTTTTACACTTAAATTTTTGTTAATACAATTTTTGGCTTTTAAAATTGAGACACTTTCTATAAATTTTCTATTATACATGTTTTTCTCTTTGTATAGGATTTTAACATTATTTTTATCTATATTACAGTCATTTATTAAACAATGGTCATGAAAAACAGAGTTTAGTCGATTATATTTGAGATCTGCAATATGTTCTTTTACTCGTATACTCAGTTTGCGTTTAGTTTCTCCTATATAGTAGTTAGTTGTATTACAGGTACATGGTATCTTATACACTACGTTCTTTGTTTCTTGTTCTTTATTATCTACTTTATTAGGTTTTACCAGTCTTAATCTATTTTCTAATTTTTCGTATTTCGGGGCTAGTTTTGCGTTTATTTTCTGTAAGTCTTTGTTGATATTCTCATATAGTCCTTTTATATATGGAAAACTGATATATTTTGTATCTATATTTAGCTTTTTTGATTTTTTATTATTCATTTTACTATTTATCTTGTTTTCCCAGCGATCTATTAAACTATTAGGATATCCATTGAGAACAAATTTCTTTTTTAGTTCTTTTATGTAAACATTTATATCTGTAAGATTGCTAGTTCTTGTCTTAATTTTTATGTATTCCATTTTAAAAATGTTATATTTTATATATGAAGGAATATTAGAGTCATATCGAATTGTTACATCTATAGAGCATGGTTTTTTATAGGGTTTAAATTCTAAGTTATTGTTGTTCCTTTTTATTGTAACATCTAAATAGTTTATACTTTTATTGGCTTTATTCTCTTCTTCTACAGTGAACTGTATTTCTTGGTTTATGCTGTTTATGGTTACTTCTATATTTTTGATTGTAGTTTTACTTTCATCATATATTATTAAAACATCATCAACGTAGCGCCTATAAAATTTTATCCCTTGTATTTTGTTTATCTTCTCATCTATGTCTATCATCACTATCTCCGCCAATTTTGAACCTACTACAGAGCCCATACTAATCCCGTCATTTTGAGTATAGTGTTCACCTTCCATTTCAAAATAGTTACTGCTATACGAAAAGTTTATTAAGTCTATTATTTCTTGTTCTACATTAAGTTTTTTTNTTGTAGTTTCACTTTCATCGTATATTATTAAAACATCATCAACGTAGCGCCTATAAAATTTTATCCCTTGCATTTTGTTTATCTTCTCATCTATGTCTATTATCACTATCTCCGCCAATTTTGGACCTACCACAGAGCCCATACTAATCCCGTCATTTTGAGTATAGTGTTCACCTTCCATTTCAAAATAGTTACTGCTATACGAAAAGTTTATTAAGTCTATTATTTCTTGTTCTACGTTAAGTTTTTTTTAGTTTTTTATCGACAATGTCCCATACCATTGAAGGGTACGTATTAGTAATATCCAAACTTGCTATTCTATAGGTATCTTTTATTGTTATGTTTTTAATATCAGTTAAAAGTTCTTCTGTATTATATATCGCAAATCTTGAATTTTGGTTTGTTTTTAATTTTTGTTTTAAGAATTTTTCAAGGTTGTATAGCGGAGTGAATTTAAAGTCTATGATAGGTCTTACTTTTTCATTTGGTTTGTGACTTTTGAGCTAGATGTTAATTTTAGGCGTACAATCATTATCATTATTCAAAATAAATTCTGTCTCGCTTTTAGTCAATTTTTTTTAACTTTTGTAAGAGAGTGATTCTAATTTTTAGTTCTTTAATTATAATTTCTTTTGGATCTACTGGAAATTTTCTAAAGCCACCATTTTTTACTAGTTCTTGTTTCTTGGTTTTTACCCAATTATTATCCACAATAATTATCTGCTTCGATTTATCGACTCTAATTATTTGCAAGTTGTTATCAATTAAAAAGTTTTTTGTTCTATTAATTTTATCTCTGTATTTATAATATTCTTTATCTTTTATAACACTTTTTTCTTTTTCTTTTGCTATATATCGCTTAATTGTGTTACTCAAATTAAATTTGGGAATAGAGACGAGTTTTAAATTAAATTTGGGAATAGAGTTTTATTAAGTCCGATTTCACTACAGACACGACACATTACCCTCTATCTCCCCACCCTTTGGATTTTTATTCATCGAAATTTAACAGTATGAATTATCGTAATAAATAACCTTCTCTGCAAAATTTCAGAAATTTTCCACAAAAATAACAGGAGTGATTAAGCTTCAAAGCGGGTGAACAAAATCGTCCCTCTGCAAACACTAACATCTAAACACAGAAAAACAAGCTTTTGATTTCTTTCAGAGACGTATGTAATGAATTCTTACATATTTATTAGCATCACATGAACAAAAAAGTTGGAAATAACTGTTTCATAGTAATATCTTATCTCTATTTTCGTAATTCTACAATATTTTTTTTTTTAATAATTTTTTTGGTCCTCAGCCAAGCTCGTTGAAAGAATGTTAAATTTTCATCGATTTAATGCTTTTTCTTAACTCGCATTTCCCTTTATTTTAACTTTGTCTGTTGGTTGTCAGAAAAGCAAATTGCACAGTGTAATTTATTATGCTCATATACCATACGCAGTGAACCCGTAATTGTAGCGTTCACTATAAATTCTTAATACTTTAATGGCTCGAACCTGTTAAAGTAAAAGAGATCCGTCCAGTAACTAACAAGTGTTAATATCGTTGCAGATGTTGCAGAAAATCTTTTTGGCTCAATTGGTGTTCCTTTGCACGGCAGTAGAGGGGTGGATCTTCGTCAGCGACCGTTTTGGTTACATCAGTGCAAAAATGAATCGAATGGTGGAATGCGAATCAAACGTTACCTCTTACATCAACGACTTCGACAGAGCCATTTATTTGGAGTGTCGAGGAAATACTTTCGACGCCGAACAGCTTCGTGTGTGCACTAATATTACTTACTTTTCTTTAATGGTGTTAAGAGAATGCCTTCTTCCCTCTCCCGACGTCAGAACATTCCTGGGAGATGAAAGACTCGAGGAATTCTTTTTGATTTCCGAAAACGTCACACCATATTCGCAAGTTAGCATCAAGAACCTTCCGAACCTTCGCAACATCACTTTATATCATATGGAAAATGTCACGTACGATTTAAAAGACCTATACAACATCGAGAGGATCGCAGTGTTGCGCGTGATGTCGGAAAAATTTCCAAACGGATTATTCAATGGGCTCCCATCGTTAAGAATGATTTACGTAGTATTAGGAAGAATAAAAAGTTTTCCAGAAGATGCATTTCGAGGTTTGAATAGACTGAAATCTTTAAATCTCTTCGACAATCGTTTAGAGGATCTTCCGGAGACCCTTTTCCGTGGATTGCGATCTCTAGAAGTACTTAATCTATACGGAAACTTGCTGACTTTTCTTCCTCACGCGATATTTAGGGGACTGTCGAGCCTTAAAAAGCTTTTTTTGAACGACAATCGTTTAAATATTCTTTTCCCTTCCCTATTTACAGATAATTTTAATTTGGTAGTTCTGAGCATAAGCAACAACAGTTTCCGTTTTCTACCGGAAATACTATTGCAAAACGTCTCAAAATTACAGAGTTTCAGTGCCTGCAACTGCGACATCAGTGACTTACACCAAAAGATATTTTCCACTTGTTTTGACTTAACTAAAGTTCGAATTTGCGAAAATCGAATCGATCGTCTACACCCCGATTTGTTTGTAAATAACGTGTTAATCGAGATTATTGATTTACACCACAACCATTTGCAAGAATTACCTTCCAACGTGTTCCGTGGAAACAAACGGCTGCAGGAACTGAATTTAAGCAACAATCTTCTGACCAAAATTCCTTTCGAGGTATTTTCGGACATTCAAAATATTAAACAATTGTTTTTAACTGGAAACAGAATAACGAAGACTAAGGAGGAAAAGTTCGACGTCTTGAAAAATCTGCGAATGTTGTATCTGGACAACAATCCTCTGGGTTCTTTACCGGAGCCGACACCGTTCGGAAGACTGCCACGTTTGACATTATTGGAGCTTTCCAACACATCCTTCACACAGTTTCCTCGAATGGACTGGAGCGCGTATAACATCTCGCAGCTCAGACTGAATGACAATCGCCTGTCGATTCTTCGCACCGAAGACCTCCCTCCGGATAATCGCACTATAATTTTTTTGACGGGCAATAATATCACTACAGTCAAGGGAAAAATCACTAGGAATATGAATAACGTTACTCTCTGTGGCAACCCGTTCCGGTGTGACTGCGCTTTGAGGAATTTCGTCGAAAAAGTTCAGTTTTTGGAAAACGGTCGATCGCTGCTTTGCTATTCTCCTTCTGACTTGAGAAACAAGACTTTCCAGGAACTGATTCCTTCCTACGTGGTGTGTCCCGTTGTAGAACATTGCCCAGCGAAGTGTCGCTGTTACTTATTTAAAGGCTTTTCGGTCATGGTGAATTGTTCTTTCTCCAATATTTCCCATTCTCCTGCAATACTTCCCGAAAACACCACAATAGTTCACCTGGAATACAACTCTCTTTTCACAATGAAAATTACAGACAGTTGGTCAGGAGTGGATGAACTGTACTTGGACCACAATCGTTTGGAACCTTCCGAGGATTGGACGTTTCCTTCTTCCTTGAAATTTCTCACTCTTCGATACAACGGTCTGCAAGATTTTCCTGCAAAATTTTTGCAATACGTAAGTGATTCTTCTTACATTCGAGTAGACATTAGAAACAATGCATTTTGGTGCAATTGTTCTTTCAAACCTTTCAAATTGTGGTTGAATCACAACGTTCATAAGATTGTGAAAGTCGAAGAAGTGAAATGCAATAGATTGTTGTCGGAGAACAACACCGTTATCGTGTCTTCCATATTGAATTTTCCGGATGATGCGTTTTGTTTGCCTCTTTTCCTCGCATCGAACGTTCCTCTGATCGTTTCCGGTTCCCTGTTCTCTGTGGTAATAGTTGTAACAATGGTGTTCGCTTTCTTATTTCTAAAATACAGAAACACGATCTTGGCTTACGTGTACGTGCATTTCCCTTTGCTGTACTGCTGCAAGATTTCCGAACTGGACAAAGATAAGGCGTTCGATGCCTTCATTTCTTATTCCGGCAGCGACAGGGATATCGTCATGTGTTTGTTGAAGGAACTGGAAGAAAATGCTCCATTCTTTAAGCTGTGCATCCACGAGCGCGATTGGATACCTGGTTGTGACGTAATATGTCAGATAGAAGCTTCAATTAGAAACAGTAAGAAGACGATATTGCTCCTGTCCGAAGAATTCCTGAACAGCGTGTGGTGTCAAGCGGAGTTTCAAGTGGCCTTGGTACAGTCTTTGGAGGATAAGATGGAAAGGATGATCTTTGTATTGAAGGATATTTCGGTGTGTGACGTAGTTCCCGCGGACATGCGCGAGTTGCTACTCAGCAGGACCTACCTGGTGTGGGGCGAAAGATGGTTTTGGGAGAAGTTGAGATACGCCTTACCTCGTTACTCGACTGATAAACCGTTACATCATGAAGTTCACGATGTGGATAGAATGATCGCGGAATTAAGAAGCGATCATTCTATTTGATTTGATTTATGAAAATTTATAATATGCGCCACAAACTGCCTTTATGCGGATTTTAAAATTAAAAAAATATATATATAAGCGTTTATTTATTCTAACGTCGTCACAAAACCAGCTAAAATTTTAATTTATGTTTTAGTTTAAAAAATCGAGTGACTTCCAGTTCAATCCGGAAGTTCGTTCATAATTAATGGAGATTCCAATGTCTAAACTTGGCACATTTGATCTGCATTTCGGTGGTGTCTCGCTTTATACGTCCGTTCTGGAGAAAATTTTGATATTAGATTGCATGTTTCTAGCTCTTCTATTTACCATTATTAATTATTGTGTTTCTATTATCCGTTTAGGACTAATACTAAAAACTTATCATACGTGGAAAGCTATTTTCAGATTTTTATTTTTACTTAATATTAAAATGGAAAATGTAAATAGTTTTACAAGTAAAATCTTATACAAATGTACAGCTTAATAAATATGCATTTCGGCATTACACCCTCGTCGGCTTACATTTTTTAGTCTCTTCTATTATACAAACTAGTATATTTAAGATTAACACAGGCACTAGAGAACCGAGTATGAGAATAAAAATAAAAATTTAATTGGGTATAGAGAATTAAGTAAACGTATAGCAATTATTAAATTAAATAATCAGAGTAAAATAATGGAATACATGTGACACAGGTATTTAAGCATAAGTAATACTACGGTAAGATACGTGATTATACTTTGTAACTTACCAATCAAAAAAGTAGGTGACGCGGTCTGTCATTTTGATTGTTTCGGTTTCAAAGATTATTGTAGCGAAGTGACGTCGTTAGGGATAAATAATGGATAACCTTTCGTCGGGCGGATGAAAAAGACACATAATTCCTCTTTTCAAAAGAGTGTCGGCCATTTTTAGTGACTCCAGGCTGGACCTAATGCCTAAGTGAATGGGGCTTTTTATTCTTTAATCCTTTCTAATTTGATAAATTGTCAATTTATCTACACAGAAGTCCAGGTAGTATAACTGACAATGCTCAGTAAGCGGGAGTTATGGGACCAGTTCTTTTCTTCTAGAAGTTCTAAAGTAAATTTATTTATTATAATTATTAAAATTAATACAAGATGGTGGCTTAACTGCTTGTCTATAGTCAAATTAATTAGTAATTACAGTAGACCCCATATAACACGGTAGATACGTTCCGTTTTATATGACTTCCGTGTCACTTAAATACATGAGCCAATCACAGCCCGGAACGTGTGCAGTTTAGGGACTACGGTTTGAAAGGTTTTCTTCCATAAAATTAACCGATTCTAGACTAATTCGACTCAACACACGTATAATTTTTTGGGAACAATCCGTATAAACTATGCTATAAACAAAAAATTGTAGGATTACTTACCGAGTGCGCACCGTTCGACGACGCCATTGATTAAGCTTGTTTTCGTCGCGGAGCAACTCATCAAACGGCGGACGCGTTTCCTGATAAGTTATTTTGATGAATAAAGACATGATGACTAAAGACAAAATTTTAGATAACTTAAAAATTATAAAATTACAGTATTAGAGTTACAGTACCTAATTTATGTACTGTACAGATGATAGTAAACTCAACTTTCCCGCCTAAACTCTCCGTATATACTTGTGTCGCTGGACGGCGGCAAGTAGTTCGGCTGCTCGTCCACTATTGGTCCAGATTCGAACAATCCTGTCGTGACACGACAATGTGTCTCATTCTTTTACCGTGTTATACGAACACGATCGCAATTTTTTCGCCGTGTTATACGAATCTGTGTTATATGAACCCGTGTTATAGGGGGCCTACTGTATAACACTCCCCGCGGGGGGAATTTCGAAAAATCCCTTCTTAGTGTACATTTACTCGACGTACCCTATTAAAACGCAATCAAAAACGCAAAAAACCGCATCTAAAATAGTATAATAGAAGCCCAGTTTTTCACAGTAAGCCTTAATTTTGTCCCTCTCTGCTGCGGGGGGAACTTCGACATCTATATACAGTAAAATAAAAACACGCGCGTATTCGAATGCAACGTTGTGTCAAAATGTAATTGTATTAAAGAACTCGTTGAGGAATGGAATAACGGACAGGACGTTCNTGTTTAGAGCAAATGAGAGTTCGAATGAGATTTAACAAATTCAAACCTATAAAAAGTAAACTCAGGTAAATTCAAGTTTTCACTTGTTTACGCTAAACTACTTGTTAGGTCTAGGATGGGAATAAAATGAAAGCTTAACCGCACGGCCATCTTGCCGTCTACAAATGATGAGCTTTAAAAAGGCCATCTTAGTCACTACAGGATGGAGAGTGTCAAATAAAGAAGAAAGCTTTCTTTGGCCTAATTGTATTCAATTTTTATTAATGATTATATTTGAGTGGTGTATTTCAACAAAAATCCAACTCCACAAGTTTCTTTTTGGAAAATAAAACTTTTTACATTCTAAGAATTAAACTAGGTTTTTCTAGTAAGAATTTCTAGACTAATATTTGGTACTTTTTGATTAACTACAGTTGACCCCCCTATAACACTGTTGATAATTCCGTTTTATTTGATTCTGATGAAACCGTGTTGTTGTTATTAAGCTGTTTCTTTGCAGACACACTAAAGTGACATATATCAACACTTGGCAACTTATTGACTATTTATTCACCAACTGAATAAATAGTCAATAAGTTGCCAAGTGTTGATATATGTCACCTTAGTGTGTCTGCAAAGAAAAAAATTCCGTTTTATATGAATTTCATGTTGTATGAGTCACTTAGATTTTACAAATACGTGTGCCGAGCTGTAAACTGCTGACATATTTGTAAAATCTAAGAAACTCGTACAACATGGAATTCATATAAAACGGAATTATCAACAGTGTTATAATTACGTTTTCTGTCAACTTTGTATATCATATACAAATGCATTGCAAGTTTCATATCTATCTCTTCTTTTTATTTTATATCAAATCCATAAATCAGCCGAAGCTATTCGGCATACATCTATGTTGTTATCCAGAAACTATTTTAAAGTGTTTAATTCTACTTCGATAGATAATAGAATGAGAAGTACAAATAAAAAGTAAAATCGCAAAAAAAATTAAATTGTACTTTTCGTTATTACAGAAAGTTACGAACGACAAAACTGAATGATTAACAGAAGGAAATCATCTAAGAAATAAGTTGCATTTTGTGCTTCCCTGCCGGCATCGAATTGTTACGACTGCTCTTGTTAGCTCTACTTTCCAGAACACAGGCCTGATTATCTAGATGGCATTGTTTAAACCGGATCTCCAGGGTGATAGACTGACTACGCAACTGCCTCGCTATTTGGCAAATCCACTAAGGTTATATCAATACTGTATTAGATCCTACAATGCGAAAACAATAAAAGTGGAAAAGTTATATGACACATTTTAAAATGCATCTCAGTTAATATTAAATGGAAAACGAATGTAATGAATAAAATATATTATGTCAAAGTGCCTACTTTAAAAGTCTTTAATCTCTGCACTATACCTGTCATTCGCCTTTAAATTTACATTAAAACAGCCTGCAGATATTACGCAAGAAGTTGTGGTAGAATATTGCAATTTTACCAAAGTACTTCTATTGAACTACTCCATTAATTTTTAATTGGATTTTTATATTTTAATTTTATATGCTACGTTTCTAATAACCATATTTGCTATACCATCTTGTTAATATTACACAGAAAACGTAAGTGTATAAAGTACCATTGATTTCAGATACGTTCGTAAGTTATTGATTGGAATATTAAATTATAATGTCAATAATCAATTAATAAATAGAAGGAATTTTGAAATTAATGAATTAATATATCGATTCTTAATAAATTAATATATCGATCGTTTTGGAAAAAAATCTTTCTTAATGTATATCGATCGTTTTCCAAAACGATCGATATACATTAAGAAAGATCTTTTTCCAAATTCATTATTACTAACTCATCGTTTTAGAGTTCTTTTCGTCAACCATTCCTGGTAATTCTTACGGTATGAATAACAATAAAATAGACCCAGATATTGTGTTTTCACAAACATTTATACTATTGAGAATACTTGGAATCGATATTTCTAACGTCAACGAAAATTCGCAACCATTTAGGAAATTCTACAAAATGTTTCTTAAGACATTTTTCTTTCTTCAGACTGTCAAGTATGTCATCATGTTATCGACAAGAAACGAAGAATTGGCATTGAATCTGTGTGACTGCAACGTACAATATGGAGAAAATGCCTTTCTTATCAGAATAATGCTGTTACTATTGACTTTATTCAAGTTAAAAACTTTAGTTGTTTGGAACTCACAAAAATATATTCAGCTTTACAAGAAAAGTCGAAAATTGTGGATTCACATTATGAACGAACCAACGTTTGTCTCTGTTCATCTGAAAAAGTTCATAAAACTTCAGGAAAGATTCATGTGTAGTTGGATTATTTTAATCGCATTACTTGGAGTGAATATTGGAGTGATGTATCTTTATACATATTTGCCGTATATTAATTATAAATGGTCTATAACATTAGCCATTTGCATGGTGTCGACTACAATTTGCTCTATATACATTACATTGTATAATGTTGCTCAGATAATATTCCTGATTCTTTTATGCGAATTACAAAAGATGCAAATGTCTGTGATGATTCACTTAACAGAAAAAAATGATCAAGATATTTCTTTGAATCTTCTTTGGCAATGTTTGCAAAATAGCAGAGACAGTCTTAAATTTTGCAATGTTATTCAAAATGAGTATTCTATTACTTTAGCTATTCTCGTAATTCTTTTTGAATTTTCACTTGGATCAATTGTAATTAATACGAAGTTAATATTTGTAAAATGGACACTAGGAATAGTAATATTAATACTGATAATCGCAGTGCTACTATACTTGTACTATTTATCGAGTATTTCGACATATGTAAGTATATAGATAAATTATTTTAATTAATATTAAAAGTAAGAATATAAATTCGTTAATTACATTATATCTTC